AATCCTACAATTAGGTTAAATAATACTGTGGTATTCTGTGGTAATTGCAGTAGTTAAAATGCTTATGTACATTTATCATTTAAAATATTTACATACTACCAATGATGAAGCACTGCATAACAATATTATACACCAGGGTGCTACTATGGTCCTGCGTAGACAACTGCATTTTCTTATTTCTATACATTGCTTACTGGCCATCAAAATAATCATGCCTTAGATGTAAATGCCAATTCTCTAAAAGAATAGTTAAATGCCAAACCAGTTAGTGGCAGTTTCCCTAAATGAGAGAAATGGTTTTGATTGTGTGATACTATACCCCTAGGCCCTACATGGTGTAAGGGAAATTGGTTTTCTATACTACTGCAGTTTTCTGTTGATACAAGATGTGTTAACATTTATGACATACAAAAATTAAGCAAATCCATAATGGCACATATTGATGTGAATTATGTGAAAGCACTGAATGATGTGGATGGAACTTTTTGTGGAGCAGGCTAAACTAGGNCTGATTTCTGTAAAACTGTGGAAACCAGTATTGATCTGCACCTGGTTTGTGCCTTGCAGGGAAAAGTATATGTTTTAATTTTATAAATTCATTGTGAGAAATTTACTGTTGAGTGATAAAACGTAGTTAAGTACATTATCACGTATGTCTAGAAATTACCAAGTGACAGCATGATATAAAGACAAGTTTCATAAGAATATTGGATGACCTACGAAACAAGTGTTTGTTTCATGATTGGTCATTATAGCTCACAGAATTTATAATATTATTCAATACAATATAATTATTTTTATTTTACATTGAACTTGACAAAATGATATTATACACAAGACTATTTTTTGCATTGCATGTGTACAGTCAGTTGAGAGATTCAATTTTCATTTACCTTGTTCTGGTATTTTCTTATCTTTCCTGTTTTTTCTTTTCTTTTTCTGGATATGGAAAGGGAGAGTACCTCAGTCTTAAGTCTTATTGATATATTATACTGTATATTTCCTCATTCTTCCCTGAATACTGATGGCCAAATTGAGGCAGTAACCCATGAAGTTTCCTTACCTTTGGGACTACAATAGTCTGGCACTTGGTGCCCAATCAGTGTTGATGCAGTGTTGGTGTATTTACTTTCCGTTTTTAACAACATGTAGTTAACGACCAATTGGTAACTAACTGAAAGCAGTAGCATTGTTAAAGTGTCTACAATTCAACCATTCAACCATGCAATAAGCTTTCACTTAAACAAAGGCTTTTCTGCTTTGAAGACTCAGTTACAATATATTAAGATACTTCTTTGTACATTTAATTTATTGAATCTTTCTTAATAAGTTGTAGTTTACAAATAGGTATTTAATAAAGAAGAAATTTGCATGCAATGTGTTTTTGTTTTATGCCTTTTCACACCATACAGCACTTTGTGATAAAAACTGACGCTATAAGCGAACAAAGTTTCGACCATTCACCATTTTCAAGTTTATTCTTCTACCGAACTTGAAAATGACCATTGAACGGTCAAAACATTGTCCGCTTATAGCATTAATTTTTATCACAAAATCAATTTCAAAGAACTTATACAACACTTTTTTATGGATGTTGATGGACAAGAGATGGTTGAGTTCTAAGCTAAAAATTTTGATTCCTTATGATTATCATTAAGAGATGATAAGGGGTAAGAGAGTTTATTTCCCACATTAGGCTTTATTCTCAAGGTAACCCATCTCAACTTATGTAACTTAGATGTGGTATCTACTAGACTAAGTCGGGAGTTTCATTAAGGGCCAGGCACCACACAAATTGATTTTGCCCGCCTGGTTTGACAATTTACATGTAGAGGAAAGACTACCTTTTAAAGAAGTTCAGTTCAAAAAGCTTCGCCCACCTATGAGATCCAGTTGCCCCCCTGCTGAAAATGTTAATGAAACCCCTGCTAAGTACCACATGCATTGCATGTAATCGTAATCAAAATGAGGGCAATTGCCTGTCTGCATGAGAATAGAATGATAGTGTAAAGACAGTGACGAAACAAATTATGTTATCTCAATATCAGGTTGATGTCAAATGTCATCAAACTTCTATGCTTAAGAGTTGTCACATTTGTGTTGAAATTCAAGTGCTTTAACACTACTTGTAACTGGATAACAAACAAAGCTACCAGTGTCCTGAATTTGACTCATCTGCAGGTGAGCTTGAAACAGTTGGAAAATTAAACCATGTTACATCTACTCCTTTATATTTCTGAGAACCTTGGCAGGGCAGATACATAGGGCTTGAAACATATTTACACTATGGTACATAACATTTTAAACAGGGAATTTTCATTTTTTAAGATGGTTCTGCCTCAGACCCAGAACCTGTTTGTCCAGATGCTTTTGGTACACTGATCCTCATCCTTCTTCTGGAATAATACTGCCAGTGAAGAATTTGCTGTTCATCAATGAACTTAGCACAGGCAGGGTTCACAAGTTCCCTGCGAAAATGTTCATATTGGAGAAGTTCAAGAAAATGTAGACACTGAGGGTATCTATGAGGGAAAGAGATCATAAGATTAGAAAAAAAATGCCTGATCAGCAATCATGATTTTGTTCTTCCAGAACAGTTACTAGTTAACATTATTTTATTTTTTTGCATATTTGTACCAAAAACTTCCACTCACTTTAAGAATTTGGCATACTCTGGCTTCTTCCAGTACAGCAGATACTTCAAGTAATTTACAAATGACTGCTCTTTAAAGAAGCCTCTCTGGGCCAGAACTGTGGACAGATATAAATACAACTGACTTTGAATAAAAAAAAATCCATCAAAAGGCAAAATGCTTGTAGTGTATAGGACATAAGCCACTAGAAGCCTGATTTGCATGTGGCATTCCACTTCAACACTGGAGGAATTTGTGAGGTGCTAATACATATAAAACAATGTCTACATACAAGGCCAGCCATGACTTCCTCAGATGTCCTCTGTTTTAATGTTTCAATATTGCACTTATGGTGACAAGCTTACTGCACTTCTCAATAACAATCAAATTCTGAAGTTCAAATCCTTACTAAGATTGCATTTTTTGCTGCAGTCAATCATAATTCTGACAACAACTAGCAAATTTTGAAAAGACGAACAAAGATGAAAGATCAAAGTCTACCAATCACAGCCTTCAGAGTGGAGCCTCTGTCTCCTGAGAGGTCTGCTAACATAATTGATGGTGGCAAAACACAAAATGATTGAACAGAGTTCACATGTTAATGAAAGGTGAGAAATAAGATCGGTAGACATGTCATTAATTTTGACTCTTGCAGTTTTGTTTCATCCTGGTGTTTGCTATGTTGCTGCTATTTGTGACAGTCATTATGCATCTATTNGGGGGGGGGGGACCATGGGCATATGTGGGGCATTTGACCTCTATTGCCTTCCCCACCCTCAGAAATTTGACTAGGAATCTGGGTCCTAGGGTGGGGACGTTTGCTTTTTTTGCGCAGAGGAATGAGACCAAGTCAAATTGTTCCATATGCTCATCTGTGTGCCAACCATCTTGGAATTGAAGTAGGACGGCTAAAGCCCTGAAAGACAGCTGTTTTTAATAGAAGTAAGCACTTGTTTTTATATTTTTACAACAACACTACTTCTCACTACTTATTTTCAATATAAATTGATGGAACACCTTACTTTGTGGGGATTAAGTAAGTAAGTGTGGATTGTGTGGATTGCTGATAATGTCGACTCGCTTTTCATCAGAGAATCAAGCGTTGGAATTCTATTAAATATTTTCTATCCATTGACTAGGAGAATGCCTCTCTTAAAGATCACGAGCGCCAGTAGAACAAAACGGGTGGGGATATTTGATCTGATTTGACCAAATTTTGGGGCCCCACAGTGGTAATTTTGACGACAAATTCTTCTGAAAAGTCAAATGCCCCACATATGCCCAGGGTCCCCCCCCCCCCCCCC